CCGCTTCTCTCTCTGAGCTCGGACTTCATTCCTCCCTCCAACATGAAGGAAGCCCAGAAAAGGACAGAGGTCCAGTGAGTGGGGGAGGTCACTAAATAAGGCTCCTGACCGTGGAGAATGGCACTGGTCACTGACTGGCCCTTATCTGTGATGGGCAAGCACAACTCCTCAAAGGCTCATGGAGGTTTCCCACTTCTCCCCCTTTACTGCCCTCCTTAGTTTTCTATGAGTTTTCCTTCTCAAGAGCCCAGACTTTTAAAGAGAGATTGCAGAGGAGATAGATTCTATTTGGCCCTCAGTTGAGTTGGAGAATAAAACAGAGGCCACAAACTCACGAAGAATTCTACAGACATTTGCGCGGCTGACCCGTTCCGGCTGGAATACCTCCCACACGGAATAATTCTGCTCAGACCTCCGGGGACTTTGCTGCACAGTTCGGCTCCTGCCTCGTAGCTGCTCCCTCACGTTCCCTGTGGCTCTAGTCCCTCAGTGGCATTTCCAGTGCTGCCCTCACGCTGTGTCCCATGCCCTGAGAATGGCTTCCTCTGAACACTGCCTGCCAGGCCCTGCACTCAGGGCTTGCCATGCACTATCTCACTATTGCAACCACCAGGAAAATGAGGACTGCTGCCCCCAGTTTACAGATGAGAGGACTGAGGCTCAGAAAAGCAAAGCCAAGGGGACCAGCAGTTAGCGTAATGGCTATGTCGCTGGACTCCCACGTAGTCAACCGCGGTTTGCGTCCCGGACCCGGTGGTTTAAAACTCATGCCGGGCACGTGTGCGTGCGTGCCCAAGATCCCGAGAGGAGAATGGAGGGGAAGGGATTGCGGTGTGACCATCCACCCTGGGGGGTGATTTCTCACTTTCTGTCTCTATGTCTCTCTCTGTCTATCTGGCGAGCGCACGCACCCTATAGCGAAAACCTCTCCAAAAAAAAAAAAGAAAAAGAAAAGAAAAGAAAAACGAGAAAAGCAAAGCCAAGAGTCGTATAGCCAGTTTGATCAGGTTACAGTCTCTGGAGGCTCAGCTCTTCCAGGTGATTCGCCCCTCAACATCCCGGCTGTGTCTGTGTTCTTACCTACCTAACCCACCCCTCACTGGCTTAGTATGAGCCAGGGCCCACTCACCATGCTGGGTGACAAAGCTGATGCAGGCGTCCACAATGATGGGGATGTCTCCCCGGCTCATCTGCTGCTCCTGCAGCCCGGTGCCACCCCCACCAGCTGCTCGCTCGATGGCTGTGTTCCAGGCTGAGAAATCCAGTCGGCCCTCCCCCTGCAGATACAGGGTCCTGAGACCCCACAGACCTGAATCAGAGTCAGTTCATAGGGTCCTCTGATGGAGAAGCCAGGCTTCCCAGAGCCACCAGCAGGGGTCAGCAATACCCAACTGAGATGGTCCCTTGAACTGGGGAAGCAACTTTGAGGAAGTGGGGCAGTGATCCAGGACAGGGTGGAGAATGAGGGCTGAGCTCCAGAAAGGGGAGCTCAGGGTCAAGGGTAGGGGCGACTTTTACCTCCCTGTCTCCACCAGGACCAAATGCTCCTTCTTGTCTGGGGAGTCAGCTGCAGGGACCACACCTGGGAGGAAAATCATCAGACGTCATCACCATCTTCATCAGTGACTACTATTTATTCAGAGATAAGGTATACCAGCCAGCAGGTAGCACGGTGGTTAAGGCTCTGGACTCCCACATGGCTCCCACAGGCTGATCCCAGACCTGGAAGCTTGCTTTCTCACTTTGTCTCTCTTTCTGTCTCTCTGGTGAGTGCATGTGCCTTATAGAAAATTAACAAATAATAATAATAATAATAAATAAAATGAAATAAGCAATTTTTTTAAAAAAAATAAGACTTTAGTATGTAAGTACTAGGCAAGGAGGCTTATAAACAATGTCCCATTAAGTCCTGAGTTGTGTGCTATTATCCCCATGTCATAGATGATAAATTAAAGCTCAGATAGGTTAAGTAACTTGCCTCAGATTACTTGCTATAAAATGGCAAAGCTGAGTTCTAACCTAGGTTTCTTGTCTCTAAAATACTAAAACTTCATCCTACACTGTACCTCTTAGAAGGAAGGAGAGTATTGAGGGTACTAGTCCCGTCTCCCAGTCCCCAAACAGCAAGTGGCTCTAAATAATAACATTTATAATATAGAATTCCTGTTGAGCACGTGTAAGATGCCTTCTGCCAGGCTCTGTGATACATGTTTTTACATGTATTACCTTACTGGTACCTCACTATAATCCTCTGAGGAAGTTCTTATTGTTAAGTCCATTTTAAAGATAAAGACACTAAGGCCTGGGGACCAGCAGTTGGCATAATGGCTATGTCACTGGACTCCCATGTAGTCAGCTGCAGTTCGGGTCCTGGACCTGGTGGCTTAAACTCAGGCCAGGTGTGTGTGTGTGCGTGTCTAAGATCCCAAGAGGAGAATGGAGAAGGGACTGCAGTGTGGCCATCCCCCCTGAGGGGTGATTTCTTGCTTTTTGTCTGTCTCTCTCTCTCTCTCTTTCTGGCAAGCGCGCACAACCTATAGCAAAAACCTCTCAAAGGGACCAGTAGTTAGCGTAATGGCTATGTTGCTAGACTCCCATGGAGTCGACCGCGGTTTGAGTCCCGGACCCTGTGGCTTAAACTCACGCTGGGCACGTGTGCGTGCGTGCCCAGGATCCTGAGAGGAGAATGAAGGAGAAGGGATTGCGGCATGGCCATCCCTCCTGGGGGGTGATTTCTCGCTTTCTGTCTCTCTCTTTCTCTCTGTCTTTCTAGTGAGCACACGCGCCCTATAGCAAAAAAGAAAAAAAAAAAAAAAAAAAAAGAAACTAAGGCCTAGAGAGGTTAAGTAACCTGTCCAAAACCACACAGCTTAGACATGATGAATGTAGAGTCTGTCTGCGCAGTTTGACATCAGAATTTGTGCCTTAAGCCACTATGTTTTATTGTTTCTCATAGGGATCCCCAAATTAAAAAGGCCCACCCCATAACCACCCTTCATCCCTGCCCCCACCCCTGCTCACTGATCTCCTGCAGCCGCCGCAGATGTACCATGTCCTCAGGGGCGGGGGGGCCAGGGCCCGGCGCTGGACACAGGAAGAGGTGGTCACCACGAAGGAGGCCGAACCCTGACAGCCAGAGGCCAGGTTCCAGGGCGGCGTGGGAAGGGGACCGTAGCCACAGGCGGCCCAGGCGCAGCAACCCAGGGCCCAGCAGCTGGTGGCAGCTCAGCGGGGAGAACCACTGCGGAGGCAGAGGGAGGACGGGAAGAGGAAGGATTGGGGAAGAAACAAAGGGTGGGGGAGAAAAATGAGAGTGAGAAGGAGAAAAAAGCAGAGGAAGACATGAAGGGAAAGCAGAAGAAAAAGAATGAAGAGTGACGGAAAGTAATTCGATTCACTTTGCTCCAGCAAACATGGAGACCCTGATATGGCCACCTCATGGCCTTAACTGGGGTGAGGGAGTAGGAAAGACTGGGTGGCTGAAATGTGGTAACAGAAGTCATGATGCCCGGAGAAGGTCTACCACCCCAGGGGGCTGGGCAGAGGCTCTCGGGTCGACCTTAATCAGGGCAGTGTTTCTCAAACTACCTGTGGGAAAGGACTAGGAATTTTTTCTTTTCTTTTTTCTTTTGTTAAGCTTCAATCTGTCACTTGTCAATACTTGAGTTAAAAACAATAAAAACGAGTTGCTAGAAAATTGAGATGAAAGAACAAAGACATACAAGTCTTTAATTTGCATAATTAGATTCAACATGTAAAATTACTCTGTCAAGCTGCTATAAATGGCTCTAAATGCTTACTCTCCAGGTCTGTGCTTACACTATCATGGAGCAAACAAATTGTGGACCAGACAGATGGCCTGTAGCCCAGTATAATGTGACAATCTTCAGACCACACTTCAAGGCTTTTGAGCAGCACAGCCTTAAAGGATGGGCTAGATTTGGGGAAAGTACAGATAGTAATAAGAGGAGACTTTGACCTGGTTAGAAAGGCCAGGACAGAGCTCTGCAAGGATCTGGAGACCATCTGTTAATGTGAGGCGTTAAAGGAGGATGCAGAGTGGGGTCAGAAGGCAGAAATTGAAGGACCAGCAGTTGACATAATGGCTATGTCACTAGACTCCTGTGGTTCAAGGCCTGGACCCAGTAGCTTAAATTCATGCTGGGTGTGTGTGCGTGCGTGCCCAAGATCCTGAGAGGAGAATGGAGGAGAAGGGATTGCAGCATGGCCATCCCCCCTGGGGGGGTGATTTCTTGCTTTCTGTCTCTCTGTCTTTCTGGCAAGCGCATGTGCCCTATAGCAAAAACCTCTCAAAAAAAAAAAAAAAAGAAGGCAGGAGTTGAGCATTCCCCATAGAGTATCAAAGGCTGCAGAGGTGACCTGGGAGGCCAGAGGGGAGGCGTTGGGCTCTGGCAATGAGAAGCCACTGGTGACCTACAGAGCAGCCGCTCGGGGATTTTAGGTAGAGACGGGCTGCACAAGGGGTGAAGGAAGAACCACAGGTTGCATGCCTTCCTGAGAAACTGTCAGGAGGGGAAGGAGGGCGCCAGGGTGAAAAGTTGAAGATGAAGCAGAGCTTAGGGCAAAGCTGCTTGAAGATGAGAGAGACTGTCGTCATCACCACCATCACTGCCACCATCATTATTATTTCAACGCCCACAGACTGAGGGCTTGCTGTGTGTGGGCTCACATGTCACTTAGTCCTCAGCCTAGGTGTGAGGCTTTTGCACCCACCCTACAGATGTGGAAAAGCTCCCAAGGCTGAGAGTTGTTGGATTCAAATCTCAAGAGGTCTGGCTCCAGGGCCTGAACTTCTAATTCCAGCAAAGGGGTACAGGATGGAAGGATAGGCTGGTCTCGGATAGAGGAGCTGGGACCGGGAGGGAGCTTTGCCTCTGGGCCTGGTGGAGGACTGGGGGTTGGAGGGTGGTATAAGAGGCAGCTTCTCTGTGGGTAGAGGGCATGGTTCCATGAGGTTTGGGGCAGGAGCTTTGCAAACAGGCCTGATTTTTCGTTCTGGGCTCTGCTGCCTCCTAGCTCTGTGATCTTGACTGAGTGCCTTCGTAAACTCTGACACTTGGGTTCGCTATGTGTAAAATATGAACAAGGCTTCCTCTGAGGGTTGTGGTGGACACTGAATGAGCTATGGCACGGGCAGTGGGACCAGAGTGCTCAGCTAACCTCGGCTGCTGGTGGGAGTGGTGGAGGTGGCCGTAGGAATGAGAGAGGACAGGAGGGGCTCGTGGGGACAGAGAGACCATGTGCTGCTGTGGAGGGCCCTTGGCGTCCTCACCTTGCCCACGGCACTGGTCCAGGCCTCCAGACTGTCAGCTCCATCGGTGCCAAAATGCTGGATCCTGCCCCTCGTGAGGATGAGCTCGAAGGAAAACAGGAACCTGGAAAGATGAGGTCATGCAGGGGGAGTGAGGGCCACCTAGGGGCTGTCAGGCTGGGACTGCGAGTTCAGTGAGTATGGGGGCAGTTACCTGTCAAGGTCACCTGGATCAGTGGGCGGGGGGCTCACACCCAGGCACACAACATCCTGGGGCTGGATGAGGCTGAGTGGTTCCGGGCTGCTTTCTGACGCAAACATTTCCAGAGCTGCTCCCAGCACACACCACAGGCGGGGGGGAGCTAGTGGGGACAGAATTGGTTGGGGGCAGAGATCTGCGGCCCATTCACTAGATGCTTATTCTGCATCAACCTCTCTGTCTGTGTATAATATAATCCCATATAATGTTCACAGCAACCCTGTGAGGTAGGTGTTGTATCTAATCCTGTTGTGCAGACAGGAAAATTGAGGCTCCGAGTTTACGCTGCTTGCCCAAGTCCTATAGGTGGGAGATAGCAGAGCTGGGATTTGACCCAGACAACCTGACTTCAGAGCAGAGGCTCTTTCACTTCAGAGCAGAGGCTCTTCTATTTTTTGGAGAGGTTTTTGCTATAGGGCACGTGTGCTCGCCAGACAGACAGAGAGAGATAGAGAGATAGAAAGCAAGAAATCACCCCCTAGGGGTGATTGGCCACGCCGCAATCCCTTCTCCTCCATTCTCCTCCTGGGATCTTGGGCATGTATGCACACGCGCCTGGCGTGAGTTTAAGCCACCAGGTCCGGGACGTGAACCGTGGTCGACTACGTGGGAGTCCAGCGACATAGCCATTACGCTAACTGCTGGTCCCCAGAGCAGAGGCTCTTAACGATCACCCAATGCCGCCACTTGGCACGGTCCCCTTCTCACCCCCAGCACCTCAGCCTATGCTCGGACCTGGTCCCACTTCCCCATCCCAGTCACTCCTCCCTGTTTCCACAGTCACTCACACCCATCCCACTGCCTGCCCGTCTCCTCCCATCCCTTGGCCCCTCCTCACCATCCCGGCCCCTCCGAGGGGGTGGGGGTCCAGCTTTGTTGCTGATGGGACCACAGTACAGGAAGCTGCTGTAGGTGGCAGGCACTACCACCTCGTTGTATACACCGGGGGAGGGGTCTACAAGGAGAGGAGACATGGGCAGGGCAGGTCAGCACAGTGGGCTGGCCTGACTCCTCTGGGGAAGGGACCTAATTCTACTAGCAACATGGCCAAGCAAAGCCAAACAGGCAGGACCCCTCACTGACCAGATTGGAAAAGAGGGTGGCAAGGGTGATGAGCTCGGCCCTGTCTGCTGCCTGTCCCCATCAGCCAGCCCAACAGGCTGTCAGCTTGGAGTGAGGAGGCTACAGTCTCTGAGAGATCAGACTATCCCTGGGGAAACAAAACTGACCCATGAGTTGACCTTGCTAGGGGTGAACCAGCACTAGCACCTGGGAAATCAACACCCTCCCCAAGCTGTGACTATCGTCAAACATCCCATGACATCAGGAAATGGGCCTTGGAGGGCCGAAGGGATTAGGCAACTGCCCAGGCTGAGCCACTGTGATGGGCCAGATGATGGGGTAATTGGGGTCCCCTGGATGAACCAAATCACAGGTTGGGGCCAAAGATTCCTGCAAGGAGACAGAAGCAGGGATAACCTGGGGGAAGGAGGCCAGGGAAGGTGCCGTCCACGGCTGAGGGAGACCAAGGTTCTTCGCCCTCAGAAACTTCAACACAAAGGAGCTGGGTCATTGTCCTCAGCAGGTTGGGTCCTGCCATAGCTGCACACAGTGCCTGCAGGGAGGAAAGGGTCTTTGTCAGCCCTAAACCCAGCCTGAAAGTCCCAGGGACAGTCTTCTGATCACCAAAGCCAGCTCCTACCACCCTGGTCTAGGCATTCCAGTTCCAAGACTGCCTCCCACCATGTGCTCATCAGCCCAACCTACCTGGAGAAGCTGGCTATGATCTGGATACTCAGGGTGGGGCTTCCGGAAGAGACCCAACCGGTACTTGCGGGAGATGAACTCTCCCCGGGGACCAGGGTTCGAGTCTGGATGTAGCCCTTCTCCCGGGGGTAGTGCCCTTGCCCAGAAGCGGTTGGCACGATCATTTCCCAAGACAATGAACAACTATAAGGTGACAAAGGGCAAAGGTAAGTGACAAAACTGGAGTGCACAGTCATCCCAATCCTGTCCCCAAGTTGTGCCCAAGGCCTTCTTGGATGCTCGCCTCCCATCTCTTCCACCTCCTCTCACATCACCCCTCACCTGCACGATCTCATTGCTCCAGACACTCGTATCCAGCTTCAGGCTCTGCACCTTGGAGATCCCAGAACCCAGGGCTCGGTGCTGACCTGTTAGGGTGTGGGGCACGTGGTACACAGGTAGCTGCGCCCCCTTACCCCAATGCCCGACTCCCAACTTGGTCTCGAGGCCCAGCCCTCACCTGCACACTGCTTGCAGATGACCACCCCCAGGTTGACAGCAGCCCAGTCTGGGCGGGAGGCCCCACAGTCTGCGCAGTGCCGGTTTGCCCGATTGGACCAGATCTTCTCAGCCACCTCGTAGTCAGACAGGGTCTCGGTTACTGCTTCCTGCAGAGCGGCCGCCCAGCTCTGCCGCGCCCCCCCTGACTCGGCTGTGAAGCTGAGGGGTGGACAGCCAGTCTGTGGGCACGGACTCCCTCTCCCCCGCCCCCGCCGCCACATCCCATCCCTGTTCTTTCCTGTGGGAGCAACCACAGCCAGTCTGAGCTAGCCCACCCTCCTGACATGTTGGCCCTGCTCACCAAACTCCTATCAGTACACATCCCTGACAACGAATGAGGAGGCCTCCAGTCCTCTCCATTCTTAAGCCTCCCCCAAAACACCCCCAGCCTTGCCTCCCACCAGTCCAGGCCCCACCTGAAGCAGCGATGAGGTGTGAGCAGGTCAAAACTTCGACTCTTAGTCTCCCGGACACTGCAGCCTTGCAATTCAATGAAGCAGATCCCGATGCCCAAAGAGAAGGCCTGAGGAAGGGGCAGTGGACACTGTGAGGTGCCAGCATGGACCAGGCCAAGCCCCAAGCCCGGCCCAGCCCACCTCACCTGCTCACTCTTGTATAGTGCCAGCTCTCCAGGGCTCAAGGCAGCGAACACCTTGGCCTTGTGTCCCCGCAGCTCCAGCATGCCTGTGCGGAGGGGTCGGGGTGGCTGGGGGGGCCGGGGGTGGCCCAGCAGCCGCTGCTCCTTCAGGCAGGATTGCAGAGCGGAGCACCATGCATCCCTCTGAGCTGGTAGGCATGGGAAGGCAGGTCAGGGGGCTGTGCATTCACACGGCCTCCAACCTCCCTGCCCTGATCGGGGGCCCTGGACCCTCCTCACCCTCACTCTCTGCACGAAACACGAATACTCTCTGGCCAGTGATGACCTGGAACTTGTTGTCCTTGCTACTGCGGGTCATCTCAATGGCAGTCAGAGGGATGATGCCCTTGGGGAAGGGGTCCTGGAGAGAGAGCCCAGTGACGCATGGGGACAGGAACGAAGCCATGTGCGCTGACCCTGGGTTCAGCACAGGCTTCTGTGAGGTCAGCACTCAGTCCACAAACAGCAGGAGTAGCCTATCAGCCAGCTACACTAAATGCTGACAACAGCCATGCTGGGACCACCACCCCCAGGGGCTTCTCCCCTTCTGATCCTGAGCCTCTGTCAGCCCTCTCTCTCCCTCATCTGCACTGGCATCGCCTGCCCACCTTGTCACTGCCAAAGTACATCAGGCTCCTCCCGTTGAACTGCACAAAGCGTCTCTGGAAGACATAGTTTCTGAGGACGGAAGGGGCCAAGATCGGTGAGTATTTGGGGTCACATGAAGAATGAGAGGGTCTGGAAAAACTTGGGACCCGCTCACCCCTACCTCCCAGCCTCTCTCCTCTCTCTTCCCTTCCCAGCCTACCCCTGAGGGGACAGCTTGTCCAGCCAGCCACTGAGCAGGGGTGTGGGGCGGTCTGCCGTGGAGGAGAAGCTGGCATAGGGTGAGATGAGGTCATCGCTGGGTTCTTCCAAGTCCAGGGTAGGCAGTGAAAGGGTGGAGTCCCCAGGTAGCTCAAGGCTGGCATAGCCAGCGTCCTCCCGTGCTTCCAGATCTTGCCTGCTGAGCCTTGTGGGAGCCAAGACAGGGACAAAACATTAGACCCATATCCCAGATGCCTTTGTAATTTCTACACCCTTTGCCCCACACCTAACAGAATACCTGGCAGATATAGGACCTGCTTTTCCAAAGGGGAATAGGAGGGTGGGAACCCAAAGATTAGCATGGAACTTCTTCCTTGAGCATAGTTGGAATTTTGATTGGAAAATTTCAATCTCTTTCCTCTGCCAGTAGTATCATTGGGCTGGGGAAGGGCTGTGAGCATGGCTCCCTGCCACTATTGCCTATCTGTGTCTCTTCAATACATCTTACTGGCTCTTTCTTCTGAAAGTTCTAGACCTTTTCTCCCTGGACCAAGTTCCTACCAGCTGTCACCAAACGATGTGAGTTGCCCAACTGGTCACCTGTTTCACTCTTGGTCCTCCCACCCACAATCCATTCTCCCACAGCTACTAGAGTGCAAAGAAGATCCTTTCACTGTTGTGCACGAAACCTTTCCATGTGCCATCTGTACTTGGGCTAACCACAAACACAAACCTCTGACCATGGGCTGCGAGGACGTGTCCAGTGAGACCCACGGTTACTCCTCCAACCTCGCCTTCTAGCACGCTCATCCTTACCACAGTCCAGCTGCACTCTCATCCCTCTTTCAGAGCCTGTTCATATGCCATTTCCTCCACCTAAAACACACCTCCTCCATGTTTCTTGTGTTGTTTTTTTCTCACTCTTTACTCACATCACCTTTTCAGAGGCCTTCTTTAACGACCCTGAGCAAATGCCTCCATTTTTCTCTATCACTTTCCAGTGGTATTCAACCTCAACAGCACAAAATCACTTAGGAAACTTTAAGATAAATACTAGTCATGGGCTCCATACCAGATGCTGAAATGTTCATCTCTGGGAGCGGGGCCCAGGCAACTGCAGTGTTTAAAGCTCCCCAGGCTATGATACAGCTAAGGTTGAGAAATGCTACTCTACCTTATTTGTTTCCTGCTTCACTGAGAAACTGAAGCAATCAGATGAGAACCCCCCACCGACTCCCAGTGCCACATCTACCCAATTTCATGCACATACCTGCCTTCCTCCTGTGACTATAATAAACACTCCTGTCGAAAGCCAGACCCTCCTCTGCGTCCTTGGTTATATTCCTCTCACCTAAACAAAGACGTGGTGTGGCTCCAGACTTTCTCCCCTGCACAGCTACTGTCCCTGTCTACCCTATCATTCTTATTCACCTACAGACACACATAACATGCCACCCTATAAAAAATAATTCTTGGGCTAGCAGGTGCCACAGAGGTTAAGGGGGCTGGACCCCACATGGCCAGCTGTGTGCTTCGATTCCTGGACTTGAAGGCTTGAAAAACATGCCAAGCACGTGTGTGTGCATGCCTCAAATCTCAAGAGAATGGAGGAGAAGGACTGCAGTGTGGCCATTCTCTTGGGGGGAGGTGTGATTTCCCACCTTCCCTCTCCAGCTCTGTCTCTCTCCAAGAAGCACACATTCCCTACAGCAAACTAAATAATAATAATAATAATAATAATAATAATTTTGGACTTTATTTCTATCAACAGTCATTCCAACTCTCTGCTCCTCTTTGCAGAAAAATTCTTCAAAAACATCTTACATTTCTAACTCCTTTTTTGCTCTTTTTTTTTTTAAAGAGACTTTTGCTATAGGGTGCGTGCAACTCTCCAGAGAGACAGAGAGAGACAGAAAGGGAGAAATTATTCCCCAGGGGGAATGGTCATGCTGCAATCCCTTCTCCTTCATTCTCCTCTTGGGATTTTGGACACACACATGCATGTGTCTGGCATGACTTCTAAGCCGCCAGTCTGGGACTCAAACTGAGGTCGACTACATAAGAGTCCAGCACCATAACCATTACACCATCTGCTGGCCCCACTCCTTTTCTTACATTCTCTCTCTCTCTCTCTTTTTAAAAAGGTTCTTCCTTTTCTGAGCAAGAGAGACTCAGAGTAAGAGAGATATAGAGAGCAGCACCACCAACAGCGTCTTGGTGCCACAATCCACTCCCAGCTTCAACCAACCCCAGACCATGAACTATACATGCACAATGTACTCAGGGAGGCCTCCGGACGTGAACTTGGAACCCTCCCATGTGGGTCAGCCTCACAGAGCATCGCATTTTTATCCAAACCAAGACTGCATGTGTTGAGGTCTACAATGGCCTCCATGTTGCCAATGCCAGAAGTCTGGTCTCAGGCCTGTCTTACTCAGCAACAGGCCTCTCAGCAGCGTATAATAGAGTTGGCCTCTGCCTCTTCCTTCTCCACGTGGCTCCTATGTCATCACAGTCTCCCAGTTTTCTACCTTACTAGCCTTTTCTTTTTTTTAGAGAGAGAAATTTTGTTTGTTTGTTTGTTTTGTTATAGGGCACATGCACTCACCAGAGAAACAAAGAAAGATAAAGAGACATCAAAGAATCTCTCCCCAAGGGAGATGGCCATGCCGCATTCCCTTCTCCTTCATTCCCCTCTCGGGATTTTGGGCACGCTCACACACGCACCCAGCATGAGTTTCAAGCCACCAGGTCCAGGATTCAAACCGCAGTTGGCAATGTGGGAGTCCAGTGCTTTAATTACTATACCACCTGCTAGCCTCCCATATATATTTTGTAACTACCAGAGGGCATGAGCAGAGAGAGGCAGAGAGAAAGCAAACCCCCCAGTGGGGTGTGATCATGCCGCAATCCCTCCCCTTCCATTTCTCCACTGTGTCAGGATTTGGGCCATGCACAATCACATGCCCAGCATGTTTCTCAAGCCACCACAGCCAGGGTTCAAACTGCAGTTGGCCATGTTGCGATCTGGCTCCCTTAACCACTAGGCTACAGGGGTGGCCCTACATCTGTATCTTTATATTCATCCAGTATTGCTTTTTCCTACCAAGTCTTTGAAATCTGGTAGGTGTTTCATATTGATAGCATATCTCAATTCCAACTAGCCACATTTCATATGCCCAAAGTCACATGGGGCTAGGGTTACCACACTGGACAGCACAGGCTCAATCCAAAGCCTCTAACTCATTTTTGACTGCTCTTTTTCTCTCGCACACCAAGTTAATTTAACAGTTTGCCTTAAACATATAGCCACTGGGCCAGCTTATGGATAAGGGAGTCAGACCCTACCTGGGTGGCCACAGTTCAAATTCTGGCCCTAGAGACTTGATAAACAAGCCAGGCACAAGTGCGTGCATGCCCCCAAATCCTGATAGAATTGAGAAATAGAGAAGGAATTGCAGCATGACCACGTCCCACCGGAGGGGTGTGTGGGGGAGGGGCAGCAAGATCCTCTCCCCCTCCCCCTCTGCCTTTTTGTCTCTCTCTGGTGAGCATATGTGCCCTGTGGCAATTATTTTATAACATACATATAGGGCCAGTCAGGTGGTGGGGTTAAGGCAGCTGGATCCCATATGGTCAACTGAGGTTTAAGTCTTGGACTTGGTAGCTTGAGGGACATGCTGGGTGCATGTGTGTGCATTCTCAAAATCCTGAGAGGAGAATAGAGAAGGGATGACAGTGTGGTCATCCCCCTGGGGTTACTTTCTAGCTTTCTCTCTGTCTCTGTCCACCGAGCTCATGCACCCTACAGTGAATTTAAAAAATAAATTCACATAGAGCCACTTACTGAGGCAGGTGGTGGCATAGTGGTGATGCAACTGGACCAACATAGGAGAGGTCCTGGGTTCACATCCCAAGACCACCCTAGGTACCTTGGGTGTACACCCACATGCCTATGATCCAGGCCAATTGAGACTAGGGTGGATCAAGGCAGGAAGACCCTGTTTGGGGTGGGGTATCCTCTCTCTCTCTCAGAAAAAATAAACTTTATAAAAAGTCTGTTGTTAAAATATATACACAAGTGTACACCAGACACATGTGTGCGCCACGTCTCCCATCTCCACTACCATCACGGTATCTGCCATCTCTCACCTAGATTCGCAACAACCTCCCACCCAGCAACGAATCACTCTGCCTCTGCTTCAGGGCCCTACAGACCATTCCCAACACGGCAGCCAGAGGGATCCTTTTAAAATGTAAGTTAAACCCTTCAATAGCTTCCCATTTCATTTAGAGTAAAAGTGAAAGTCCCTACAAGTCCTACCCTATCTGACCCATTTTACCTTTCTGACGTCACTTCCTACCACTCCTCTCAGCCTGGCCCATCTGCCCCAACACTTCACCAGCTTTATCGCTCTTGGGGGCCTCTCTTCTAGAC